TAACAAATTTGGTGGCAGCGGTGGGATAGTTACCGTCAACTATTGCCTTTCTGTCACTTGGTCATACGCAGAAATGAATTTATATTATAATTGTAAAATAATTAAATGAGTCTTTGAGTTTCGTGAATTCGCATCAGAAATTGAAACGTAGTCATGGCAATACAAGACTCCACTTCAAACATCAATCAAACTGTGACCGATGCCATGAATTGGGTCGTAGAATACTTTGCCGTGCAAAATGTAGTCCTGCACGTACCATTTTTGGATGGGAAAAATATTGCATTTAAAAACTATCTCTCTCTCTCTTTCTCTCTCTCTCTCTCTATATATATATTGCGACGTTATTCCCCCAAAAAAACAAAATCCCAATAAGAAATTAGACGATAAAAGATATTCGGAAAGTAGGGAACCGTACACAAAACGCCGTATGATTCTCTCTCAAGAGATTTCGATATTCACAAGACTCGATACGCGATGAACTAAATAGTGTTGGGCGCCAGGTGGTCTCCGGGGAGAACATCGCGAGTGAAGGGCACTCGAGATCTTAGAAAATCTGAAGGAACCGCGAGAAAGCTCGGACAATAATACAAAGCAAAAAAGTTCTTGAAGGATGCTATATAAACTAAAATTCTTATAACGAAACGCGGAATTAGCGAGGGACTATGGCCCTGTAGCGCTACGACACGGCAGCGGGACGGATCCGCGCCGACGCAAAAGATAATTTCGACAAGAGTTCAGTAAATCGGAGACTACGAAATACACGCGAGAACAAACGTTTAAATTCGTAACGATACGAAAAGGCGATAACAAATTCACTCGCGAAATTTCCCGACAATTGGAAAGAGTCAGAACACACACGATATAAATATGACGATCAGCGCACAGATATAAAATACACTTAAATAAATTAACACAGGTAATACAAATAAGATAAATTAGTTAAAAGAAGCGAGAACACAGGTTTAAATTCGTAACGATACGAAAAGGCGATAACAAAGTCACTCGCGAAATTTTCCGACAATTGGAAAGAGTCAGAACACACACGATATAAATATGACGATCAGCGCACAGATA